GGAGGGCGGGCACAGGAGGGAGGGATCCTGGTCCTTTACCACAGACAATCTCTGACAATGTTTTTAAAGTTATAGCCAAAGATCTGAAGCATTAAGACCTAAACTCTTACCAAACAAATAAGTTGCTTCAAATAGAACCTTTTCCTCCCCCCATCCTCTAAATAAAAATAGAAAAAAAGTTTTCATTTACCTTTGCACTTTAATAAAAGAAAACAAAACTAAAAGTTGAGAACCATAATCACTGAAAGTTATACTAAAATTTCCCAAACTACTCACCAAGCAATTACTCAAGTGAAATTTCATTTTAAAGTATCCTCAAATCTCGGGTGTTCTCCATGGGGATATGTGTGGAACTACTTTCTAATACCAGAAGAATGACACCTACATAAGGAAAATTAACGACAGCTTTCAAGAAGTGAAAGACTAAGTCTCTCAATTTTGGAAGGTTTAAAATTTGTTTCCAAAGTTCTGAGCTATCATAAAGAATAATAAAATGTGACTATTGATACATAATACAATTAGAAATTCACCTTATAAAATCAATATGGATTGACAGCACATTAATATAAACAGATTTCTTCTTAAAAAGTATCACAGGCAGGGCATAGTGGCTCACGCCTGTAATCTCAGCACTTTGGGAGGCTCAGGTGGAAGGATCACTTGAGACCAGGAGTTTGAGACCAGCTTAGGCAACATAGCAAGACCCCATCTCTATAAAAAATTTTAAAAATTAGCCAGGTGTAGTGGTGTGCACATGAAGTCCTAACTATTCGGAAAGTTAAGGCAGGAGGTTTGCTGGTGCCCAGAAGGTTGAGGCAGCAGTAAGCTGTGACTGTGCCAGTGTGGCAGAGGAGATCCTGTTTCTAAAATTAAAAAAAGTTAAAAAGTAGCACAAATGTCTGAAGCAAAGTTCCCCAAATACACAAACAATATACAAAGTAAGGTTTGAAAAAAGAACAAGGAAACTAAAATCTGAGTAAAACACATCATATAAATTCAAGGGTACTATGGCCATTCACAAATTCTCCTATACTATCTTTAACCACTGGGACATTATCAAACCTCAAATCCCAAAGATTTGGCTGTTTCTACAGTCTATTTATCTTCATTTGAGGTAAGAGAGATGCAAAAAATATAGCAGCTGGCATAACAACAGATAGTTAAAACTCAGGTAGAATCACAAAATTCAAAGTGTTATTTCAAACGAGCAATGGCAAGGACACATGATTTTCACACTTCTGGTGCAGGAAGCTACAGAGAGCCAGACTCAGAACACATTACTTGAGCCACGTTATTTCACTTCATTTCTCAAAATTATTAAATTTAAATATCACATCATTTTAACTCTTTCAAATAAAAAGAAAATATTTCTACAGTCACACAAAGTCACATTCTGTTAAATTCCTAGAAAACTACAAAGTGCTATTATGATAAATTATATTTAACTACAGGCATTTATTAACTGATTTAAAAGACAGAAGAAATAGAAATAATGTGAATTTTTCCAAGCTAAAAACATAGCAAGGTTTTTACAGTAAATTATCAAACGATGTTTCAGTAAGTTTTCATGTTAAATGATAAGAACCACACTATTAAAATACTGTACA